TTTGAAGCGTCTTAACACTTTACTTACTGGTAACATATTAATCGACTTTTTCCCATGGCAACTAATGCTTTGTTATTTAGTATTACTGAGATTTTACTAATGAAACATTATATAAACATTAATCTCGAAATGATTATCGTAGCGTTATGGAAATAAAAAATATTAGATTTAATCATACATCTAACCGCTACCAGTCGATAAAGCGTTAAGAGAACACATTTCTTCGATCAATTATCAACGCCACTTTCACAAGTTGATGCGTATCGAATTTCTATTGTTATAGAAATATTCAAATTGTACGTCAGATATCTGTCAAGATCGTTCCAAGAATGCGAAGAGTTTCCTGGTTAAATGAGTGTCGTCTTACCGGGCAGTCCTTGAAGCAACTGCGTGACAGCGAAAACGAGGAAGAAGAAGGATGCACCGCAAGTTCGCTGTTTCCCGCGTGGCGCGAATCAACGAGTTGCGTAACGCGCCAACTTGTTCGCACAACGTGCTCGATTCTCGTTAACACTCGATATAACGGCGAGACACACGAGAGGACCACTGATTTGTTTGCACAATGTGTCACGGAGCACGAGGGAGAACAATCCGTTTGTTTTTGGCGCGAAGGGAGTCCGCGTTTCCGGCGCGAGGCTACTACGAACGAAAGAGAGGGAGCGACAAGCACCTTCCACCGCGGCGGCTGGAGCGCGACTGACTGGCCGTGCCGGCTCGCTCTGCACACGGCCTCGAGTTTCGAATTACCCGCAACTTAACGACACTACGTTCTGTGTTCGTCTTGATCGAGATGAATGTGCGATATTACGCGAGCATCTTTGAGTTGCGGCGCATATTCGTATATTAAATACACGCGAAAAAAATATATTGATCAACCGTTTTCACTGGAAGCCATCTGGTTGCAGTGTGCAAACAAAAATTGCGATATATTAACCCTTTGCGCTCGGCTGGCGTCTCTAGAGCGACATATGTAATTTAAAAGGGATTTTTTGAACGTACAATTTCAATTTCGCTTATATCAAAATAAAATTATTAATTGAAATAATAATATTAGGTTGTCCCAAATGTTTCTTTCGCTTTATTAATAAGTAATACATGCACAATAGTTTATGTTTTATGTTACATTACTGAATTGTGCACGACTCATTTCGCTCTCCATTACTGCTACAACATGAATATCTATGAAATTAGATTGTCTATTTATATAAACACGACCACATAAAATAATTGAGTGCAACTCGCGAAAGAAACTTTCGGGACAACCTAATACATTGAGTCATGAACGTTCGTAGATGATTCTCTTCGAAGTGGAGTTTTTGGTTCCACAGAAATTTATTAGAAACATGGACTGGATTTGATTGTATAGAAAAATGCCTCGAGCGCAAAGGGTTAAATTCTTAAATAGTGTAGCTTTGCAGATATGTAATTTAGTGCGGTGATGTTTGGTTTAAGTGAATCTTTAAAGGGGTGCATTTATGACAAGAAATCAAAATTGCATTTTATAGGAAATGGTCTCCTACACCTACCTTTCTTTAGCTTCTTTAGGAAACAGTTTGCGATTTGAAAAAGAATTTTCTACGTTAACGTATGTTAATCTGGACTAACATTAATTCCACCATACTAGTAGACTGCGGATCTTTATGCATTTACAGGAAATTTGAATTTGCAAGAACCTACAAAATGCAAACAATATGGAAGAATATAAAAAAGATTGAAAGTGAAGTTCATGTTGTAATATTTGCAGAATAAAATTCCTATTTAGGTTCAATTTTTGTAGGCATGTTTGCGAAGATTTTATTTTGCATAAAGATCTGCAGTCTAGTTATTAGGTACATCCAAAAACTGAACATTATAACATTATAAGTACAACCAATAAAACGATGAATAAATTTCAGAAACTAACGAGTTAAGAAGTACACGTACACATAAACTTTCAGTAAGTAAAGTGTTAACTATTCAACCGAATAAGTGAAGAGCGAAACTTCACCCATCCCTGACGCCTGAGGGCACCAGTTTGTCACAAGATCACGATTCTTTTTACCTGGATGAAAAATTGTCGGGTTTTTTGCGCGTAGTCGAATCACAAGAATATTGTTTCTTACGAAAGAAATGATTGGTTTCTTCGCGTTAAAATTTTCAATCGTCACGGCATTGTTAAATTACGATGCGCCCGATGGCCGTAATTTAATTTGACAGCTTGAAGATCGATTGCACGGAGAAAGGGACACTGGAGAGGGAGGTCCACTCACAATAAGACTGACCTACGTAAATTCCATTACGTAGCCTCGTCTATTGTTCACGAGCTATCTACGTGCGCATAGCGAAACAAAGCGACGAAGGGATTAGTAAACACGTGGCAAGACAGTGAGCAACATAAACAAATGAGTCCTATCAATTCCCGTGGTACACCAACAATGAACCACCCCAAATAAAGGCACTACGCGAGAAAATCAAAGACTCGCGGCTCTGAATATTAATCGAGGCGCTAACTAGCGGAAGTAGACCAAACGAATTAATTACCATTAGGACGTACATCAAATCTGATTTAAATAGGAGGAGGACGGTGTTATTTATCAAGCGATAAAATTTCGGTAATCGCAGAACAGTTTTTATTACCAAATCCAATTCTCTCATATCGGAAAGTGTCGGTGTGATATATCTGCATTAATCTTCGATAGAACGCGTCGTAAATTATTTACATAGAAATATTACATTAGCCTTAATTTCGAGTTTGTTTCGTAGATCGTTCGACTTCATAGTCGTTGATCGAGAAATCCACGGAATCGTAAGCGCGACGAACGGTTTTTCATCGTAGCGCGATAACGATCACGGACGGTAGAATCTTTCTTTCGAGCAAAGACACAGCTTGTTAGATTTGTTTTCCCCTGTAACTAGCTAAGACGCGGAAAAACTGGTCAGGCATCCCGTGACGATGCCCAGTTACTATGCATTGATAACGAGTTGCGAAAACCCACGGAAGGAAGAAGTAAAACACGTCAACGACAAGCATACCATTCTACCTTTCTATATTACTCTTTTCTCTTTTTTTTTCTTTTTGTTGTTCTGTTTCGCTTACGACGCCCGAGGGCACGTATGTCGCATAAATATGACCCTGGAGCGGACGCGTGTGCATGACGGAGAACGGTGATTACGATGATGACGATGATGATGATGACGATGATGACGACGATGATAACCAACGCATGAACCGTTGCACCGAGATTAATTTGACTCGACGCATACGTATCCGTAGTATGCGCTTGTCCGTGTACGTTTTATGTAAATTGTGACGTCAACGAGTGGAAATTACATAGCGAGGTGACCCTTCGTTCGCTCCAACTTCGACGAAGTTACGATGGGGGTGCTAGAAATAAAGAAAAGAATACTTAGACCGGGGAAAAATCTGTTTTGCCACGTTAGCTGCTCTTTTAAAAGAGAAGGAAATTGTATCCGTTAGATCGATTTTTAGTTCTTTTGGCTCTGCGTCGTTACTCTGCAGAGTGAAGTTTTTCCTTGCTCGCTTTTTACACTCTTTCGCTTCTATCGAAGTTTCAAGGAATTCCATGATTTCCACCCTCGCTAATATTATTACAACTAACAATACCATTGCCACTACCGAACCATTAACTAAATATTTAACTAAACGATTACTCAACACTCGATGACTGGAAGACAGAGGCATAGCGATGGGGTGGCAGGTACAGGCACGTGCCTCCGGACGCTATTGGCGAGGGGGCGCCAAATGGCGCACAGTGGTTTTGAAATTTCAACAAAGTCAAATTGTATAAGGATAGTGCTATATTTCTGAATAAAAAACTATTTAAAAAATCAAATTATATGTCTCACAAAAGCCTTAAAACTTTTGGGTAGTTTTTGAACATATTCAAATTAGTACACATCGGAAACTTTAAGTAATGGAGTGATCTGAAATTATCTGTATTATAGTGGAAACCCCTCTCTCACAATATGATAAGAAACTCAAATTCATTGAAATGCCGCCGGGCGACAAATTTCCTCGGTACGCCTCTGTTGGAAGACAAAATTCTTCTTTAAGTAAACGCGAGACGAGCACAAATATGTGAAAAATGTCATGAAACCGATGAGTATCGTCGGAGTTCTCGCTGATTCCTCCGGCATTAAATGTCACCACGGACACAGTGAACAGGGCGATCGATGATGCAATTAGTCGACTATTTCTTTAATTATGACCGATGACTCGTGACTAGATTTTTAGTCCTCTACTAGATCGCCACCATTCAAGTAAACATACCAAACGTGATGAATTTTGAACCCACTATCGGGTGCCTCGGCCTGAGGGTCAATGTAACTCTCACAACCATAACTACTTTACCTAGAAAATTAAGTCGAAAATACAAGGGAAATTAATTTTAAGACGATGGATGCGTGACCGTTGCCTCTCCGCTTCTATAAACCGATGAAGATCGTTACGCGCGAAAATTCTGTTCGAGATGTACACTTAATCTCATAAATATTCGTACCCTCAGTCTATTGAAGAAGTTTGACCAAATTAAATAATAGCTTCGATGTTACTAAATTAATTTTTATGATTGAAAATCATTTTATTTTCGAAACAAGCGTGGGTGCTAACGGCCAATGTAACATTTGTGACATACAATGAAGCATGGATAGAGGAAGGAACAAATGGATAGATATGAGATAGTGAAAAATACGGGAGGTGCTAACAGAGAAATGTAAAGTTTGTGACATGCAATGAAGCGTGGATAGAGACTGGGACAAATGGATATATATGAAATACTGGAATACGGTGGTGCTAATAGAGAAAACCTTTTATTGAGGTTGATTTTCAATTTCTTGATTCTTACGATGAGCGTGAAATCTGTTAATTTTTTATTATAAATATGTATATATGAATAATACGCTTGGAAACATCGAACCTACCATTTAATTTAAACAAATTGATTCAATAGAAATGGAGGCTACGAATATTAATGAGACTAACTGCATTTGTCAAAAATGGACAGAAGTTCGAGACGGTAAGAAAGAAATGTATTACCATCAGCAGGCGCTGGTGCAGGTGCAGCCTCTGCTGGGGCTGGTGCATCGGCTGGAGCTGGTGCAGGGGCTCCCTCGGCTGGTGCAGGTGCAGCTGGCGCTCCTTCCGCAGGGGGTGCGGCTCCTTCGGCTGGTGGTGCTGCTGGGGTTCCTTCCGCTGGTGCAGGTGCACCTTTACGAAATCGCAGTTACCTTACTGCACCCTTTTCAGGGGTCAGGACAAAGGATTTTGCCCTTCTAATCCCACTGAGTAACCAACCCTTTGCAGGTATAAGAATCGAAAGGCAAAAATCCTTTACCCTACACCCTCGGTGTTAACACTAAACCTACCGACATTTCATTTGTACCTATTTCTACTGGAATTGATCTGAGATACACTTATTTCAATTGAATGGAAAAATATTTCACGTGGTACTCGACAAATTTTCAAACTTGTTCTTTTCGAAATTAAAGCGTCATATGACAAAATTCTATTCTATATTTTCGATTCAATTTTTCGCGTAGACTCGCCCTCTACTTGCTTGTATCACCGGTTACGGGACACCCAGTATTGCGTATACAAGAGCTGTACACAAGAATGACCGTCCCTGATATTACCGGCAGGAAGGATCAGATTGTTATTACGCGACTTGGAAACGGACAGACAAATATAACCCATGTCTACAAAATTACTAA